CAGACTTACACCCAGTTTAGGAATTTACTCCAGCATGTGGATGGAGCCAGGCCTTTTGTGTCCAGGATTTGTCTCCCAATCAGATTTTGAGCTTTTTAAAGAACGAAAAATATCTCCCAACTTTCAGCGATGTGCCCAGCCATCAAGCAAAGCAGGGCCTCAGTGACTGTGTGGGAAGGGCTGTTTAGAGAATGTTTTGAGCAAGGAAGGTGAGAACAGAGAGGAATAAAGACCCCAACTGTGCTAAGCCCCTTAAATTCATTACCTCTTTTATACCTCCCAAAGGTCAGGAAGGTGAGTATATATTATTACCCTCATTTGAGGAATAGGGAAACTGCCTTGAGGCTCCAAAGCTGTCGCTCCTGGGCCCTGTTTCAGGACCCACATTGGGAAAAGGTAGTGGTTCAATAGGCTTGGGGACCCTTGAGCTATTTAATTCATGCCAGGAAATGAAATTTTTGGTATGATAATCTCGAAATCATAGAGAGACATGTTCTGGGTAGTCCCTTCTGTTTCTGGGACTTCCAGACATGAGCGGGCTGCCTCAGCGGTCTAGTGACCCAGGATGACCGGCGAGGCAAGTTCAGAGCCATTCAGTTTACTAGAAATGGTTTTCAGATTGCACCAGGGCTTGAGTTCTGTGGGGTTTATTTGATTAAAAAAAAAAGACCCGTCTACAAAAGCAATTTGTTTATGGTAAAAAATTTGGACAAAGTCAAATCTCACATGGAGTACAAAGCGCTCTAATTCCGGCACATAAAGGTGATCACTTTTCCCCCCTCTGTGGGTTTTTCTGGGGCGGCTTTTGAGCCCGACTTGGCCTGGACGCCACTGCAGGGCATGTGGTGTGCAACACAACAAACCGGCATCTCTGGGGCCCCTCCTGGCAGGACGCGCGCCCCAGCAAAAGCTCGGCGCTTCCGGTAAGTCTGTCTGTAGCGACCGAGGCGGTGTGCCGCGAGTGCAGGCAGATCCCACCGGGCAGCGGTGGGTGGCTGCGGCTCCCGGCTCTGTGCTCCCACGTGCACACGCGGCCGCCGGGTCCCGAGCGCTCGCCTACGAGAAACGGCTTGGGTTTCCCTCCCGGCGCGCAAGCGGCCCTGCAGGCCTCGGCGCACGCCAGCTGTATGGTCCCCACACACCGCCGCCCGCACCGACACGCGCCGCGAGGGGCAGGGCTGGTCTACGCTGCGGGCACGGCCTCCCCGCGCCAGCGCCGCCCAACCGCGGCCCAACCGTCACCGAACCTTCTGGAAGCGGAGCCCCGCCGCTGCCAGAACCCGACGCCGGCGGAGCCCCTAAGGCGTGCCGGCGGGACGAGGGCGGGCACAAGGGGCGGGGCCTTGGCAGAAGGCCGTGTTCGATTCCCTGTTAGTGATCAGGGCCCGCCCCGTTAGCGCCATGGCCACGCCTCCTCCCTCCCCTTCCATGGCGCCGCCCGGGCTCATTCATTCAGCGCCAGGCCTGCCGGACACCTACGCTCTCCTGCCGCCAGCCGCCGCCGCCAGCATGTCGGGCCCCGCTGCCGAGACGCCGTCTGCCATCCAGATCTGCCGGTAAGAGGGGCGCGTGCGGCGGCGCGGCCTCCGAGTCCCCGCCCGGCCCTGCGCCGCCGCGCCCTCCACGCCCCGGTCGGCGTTGTCCGCTCGCCAACCGCGGCCCGGGCGCACCTGGGTGCTGCAGAGCCGGCGGCTTCCCGTGCAGGCCGTTTGCGCGAGGAATCGGCGCGGCACCGCCCCGGGCGGCGTTCGGTGTGCAGCCCCCGCACCCCTCACTGCTCCGCCCGCCCGGAACTCGAGCGCGCTGGAGCCCCCGCCCCGGTCCCGCCGAGCCCCCGGATTTGGGGTCGCTCCCCGCGCTGCCGTGCAACGCCCACCGGTTCCGCGAAACGTGGGGCGGCGCCGGGCGAGCCCATCGGTGGGCGCCGGAGGGGGTGGGGGCTGCGGATGTGCAGTCCCATCAGGGCGCCGCTGGGTTTTGTGGGGAGCCGTGTGTTAACCGGAGGAACAGAAAATACCCTTCCCTTGGAAGCATCTTAGACAATGGGGCAAAGGGCTGTGCTCCTCGGACTGCCCTTGCCTTCCTCCCGGGTGCTAGGTATCAGCGGCCCTCGGAGGCCGCGGGAGAGCGTGAGCTGGCCCGTTTCCCACGGAGCCCGAGGGCAGCCTCAAGGTTACTCTCCATTCTCGGGCAGAATCAAGCAGGCGCCCTGGCATTTGAGCAGGAGCTCAGCAAGGGCAGGAAGTCTGGGCGGGCGCACAGGCGCTGGGCCTGCAGGAGGCCTGCCTCGCTGGATGTACCACTGCCAGCCAGAGCTGCTGCTTGTCTGCGGGTGGGTTCCTTTGATTCGGAGAGTGGGCATCGCAAGGACCTTGGGTCTAAGCCGGGTTAGTTTCCTGTGGATGTTGGCCTGCGTCTTCCTGAAAGAGGCAAATGCTGGGGTACAGTGACTGCTCATCAGTGAGGTGCCCCGACCCCACCCCCACTTCCGACCTAGTC